GGTGGGCGCGCGGGACAGGCCGCGGGAAGTCGGGACGCCCCGGGGCCTGGGGCTGCGCCTGCGCAGAAACCAGCTCTGGGGCCCCTGCGTGGCGCGCGCCCGCCCCGGTAACGGCCCGCCCGGCCCTCAGAAACTGCGGCTGGCAGCTGGTCCGCCTGTGTGCAAGCCGCCCGCCGAGAAGTCCCTGAACCCTTTTGGCCTATGGGGGACTCGCCGCCCGACCCTGAGCAGCCTGACCAGCCGCTGGAGACACGGAGGAGTTTCCAGGCCTCTGAGCAGAGGCGCAGCAGGGAGCCCTCTCTGCTCCAGTCCACGGTCCTCGAGGAGTCGCCACAGGTGGCACTTGACGCCCAGGTTCCGAGCAGTCAGGAGATGCTGGCCCGCCAGACCAACCAGCAGGGGTGGTCACAAAGTGCCATCCTGACCCAACAAGAGAACTTGCAGGCTGAGGAGCCCCACGGCGGCTTAGAGGACCCGTCCGCGAATACAGGCTTTCTCTCGGATTTCCAGCGCCAATCTTACCTGGCTGAAGGCACGACCCAGGTCACCCACAATGCCAACCTAATGCTGCAACAGCTACCGCAGGGCCAAGGCAACCTCTTCCAGCAACTGGAGTCAGCCTACCAGGATTCCCGGCCCGACTTCCTGGGCCAGTTTAACGCGTACCAGAGAGATGACCTGCAGTTCAGTGAGACCGCCCAGCATGGGCCCTACGTGAAGGATGACCCTGCCCTCCAGTTGTCACACTCTGAGCTGGGCTTTATGCCCTTCGGTATGGAGGTGTCCGAGCCGGAGCCCCGGGAGCTGGCCGTGCAGAACGCCAAGGCCTACCTGCTGCAGACCAGCGCCAGCAGCGACCTCAGCCTGTGAGAGGGAGCTATGGGGTGGGGGAGGGGCGGGACCCAGGCAGGGAGAGGCCCCAACCAAGACCCTGCCTCAAGCTCTGGGGTCCCCCCAGACAGGGGATTGACGGTCAGGTAGAATCAGCTACTGCTGTGGAGCCATCTAACTTAGACAAAGGAGTTGGAATAAATACTAACAATAGCTAAAAAGTAAAACAACATTTACTTACCAAACATTGTGCCAGCCCTTCACACATTGATCTCTGGTTCTCAGAGCTGAGTGGCACATCTACTGTCCCTATATTACAGAGGAGGAAACTGAGACACAGAGAAATTAGGTCCCATACCCAAGATAACACAGCTGGGATGTGGCAGAGCCAGGATTCCAGCACAAGTGATTTGGCTGGAGTAGCCCTGTTATTTACTAAACTTTCCTGCTTGAGGAAGGCACTTGCCAAGGTCACTAAGCTGCAGTCATAATATACCTCTCAGCCCCCCTTCCCCACTACCACCTCATGAGGCTCACATTCTAGTTGGAGAATGGACAATAAATATAATAAATGATAAGTTGATAAGAGCTAAGGTGAAAAAGTAAAGCAGGGTGAGGGGGATAAGGAGTGCATGTTAAATACTGTGAGGTCAGGGAAAGCCTCTCTGAGGAGGTGACATTTGATCAGTGACCTGAAGATGGTGAGGGAGAGCACCTTTTAGATAACGAAGTGTGATCCAGGTACAGGACACTGTCAGTTTGAAGGGTTTAAGGTTTGCTCTGTTTGAGGAGCAGCGAGGAAGCTGGTGTTACTGGAACCAAGGGAAGAGGAGGGGGAGTGGAAGGAGATGAGGTTGGAGAAGTAACAGATCTTGCTAAAGCACAAAGCTGACTCCATCCCTCCCATGATTCCCAAGCGCCCTCAAAAGAAGGTTCATGCTCTTCACAACAGCCTTCAAGGCCTTATATAATTCAGCCCTGGCCCGCTCTCCAAATTTCATCTCCTAGAGTCTAGTCAAAATTAACCAGTAGCGCTTCCTCAACAGTTCGCAGCCCTCTAGAGCTTCAAATTCCTTTATTGAAAAGCCCTGGCCAAATTCTGACCTCTCCTTATCATTCCCAATTCAATGATGGCCCTCCACCACACCTGAGGCTGTTGCCAAAGGGTTTCCACGCCACTGATGGTTAGATATACATGCTTTGAAATCAGACCAACCTGGTCCTGGTTTTAAATTTTGGTTGTGCTACCAACTACTGTGTGACTTCATGACCTCAACTTTTCTAAGCCTTAGTTTTCTTATCTGGAAAGTGGAGATCGTAATTGTTCCTCAGATATATGATTGCGGTGAGAATTCAACATTGCTCTCAAGTGCCCAACATAGTGCTTGACTAGGTGAATGGAAACCATTACCATACTGTTATCACTCCAGCCTCCTCTCCTACCACAGCCCCTCCCCCTCACTTCACTCCAGCCACACTGACTTCCTGTGTTCCTCCAACATGCCAGGCACACCCTCAGCTCTCCACATCATTCTCAATCACATCATCTGCAAACTATGATAGTTTTGCTTCTTCCTTTTCAATACTTTTATTTTCATGTCAGATTGCATTAGCTGAGACCTCCAATGCAGTATTAAATAGAAGCTGTGAAAGCAGGCATCCTTTCCACATAGCAGAAACCTCATAGCAGAAAATATTTAGTCTTTTGCCGTTATGTTTGGTCTGTGCTGTAGGTTATTTGTGGCTGCCCTTTATAAGATTATTTGAAAATTGCCTTCTATTCCTAGTTTCCTAGATTTTTAAAAATCATGAATGGATGTTGAATTTTATCAATATCACTTCACCTATTGAGGTGATCTTACATGTCCCCTTTAACATACTGACATGATGAATTATAGTTTTTTTTTACTTTTCTAATATCAGTCCAGTCTTAGATCTGTCATTAGTCCAATTTAATCATGGTGTGTCATCCTTTTGGGCAATTGTTAGATGTCATTTGCTAATATTTTGCTTAGGATTTCAGCATCTATATTTCTAAATGAGATCAGCAAAGAATTACTTTCCCTTCTTCTAGTTTCCTTGAGTTTTGGTATCAAGATTGTCTTAGAGTTGCCCTGACCGGTTTGACAGTGGATAGAGAGCATCAGCCTGCAGACTGAAGGGTCCCAAGTTCGATTCTGTTCAAGGGCATGTACCTCGGTTGCAGGCCTGATCCCCATCTCTGGTTGGGGTGCATGCGGGAGGCAACCAATCAATGTGTCTCTTTCATATCGTTTTTCTCTCTCTCCTTTACACTCTCTGAAAAGCAATGGAAAAAATATCCTTGGGTGAGGATTTAAAAAAAAAAGATTGTCTTAGACTCATAAAATATCTCAGGGTCTATGCACCCACTGTTCCCTGAAACGGTCTTCCCCCAATATCTGCATGGTTTGCCCCCTCACTTCATTCAGATCTCAGCTTAAATGTCACCCTGATGAGGTCTTCCCTGGCCTCCCTACTAAAAACTGCAAACCATCACCTATCCCTGGCATTCCCAGTGCCCATTCCCTGCTTTACTGTCTCCATAAAAATCACCACCCCTGACACTCTATGTACTTTGCGTATTTGGTTAATGTCTATCTCCATCATCAGAATGTCCGCTCCACCAGGGCAGGGGCCTTGTCTCTAGTGCGTCCCCAGCAACAGGCACAGGGCCAGGCCCCCAGCAGTGAGCCGAGTGAATGATGTCCCCTACCTCCCACCCCCTTGGGAATCAGGTATGAGCACCTGGTGAACCTGCTGATGAAAATCCTGAACCAGCGACCCGAGGACCCCTTGTCTATCCTGGAGTCGCTGAACCGCACCACGCAGTTGGAGCGGTTCCACCCCAAGCTGGACTCGCTGCGGGACGACCCCGAGATGCAGCCCACCTACGAGATGGCGGAGAGGCAGAAGGCGCTGTTCATCCGGGGCGGCGGCTCGGGCGAGGGCGAGCAGGAGATGGAGGAGGAGGTGGTGAGTGAGCCGGCGGGGGCGGGGAGGCGCCCAGTGAGGCGGGGGAGCGGGGCTTCAGCCTCCCGCCCCCCGCACGCCCCCTGCAGGCGGACTCGGCCGTGCCCAACATCATGGAGGCCGCCTTCTACTTCGAGCAGGCGGGCGTGGGCCTGAGCTCGGACGAGAGCTTCCGCATCTTCATGGCGCTGAAGCAGCTGGTGGAGCAGCAGCCCATCCACACCTGCCGCTTCTGGGGCAAGATCCTGGGGCTCAGCCGCAGCTACCTGGTGGCCGAGGTGGAGTTCCGGGAGGGCGAGGAGGAGGTGGAGGAGGAGGAGGCCGAGGAGGCCGCCGAGGGCGGCGAGGTCGCCGACACGCACGGCGAGGAGGAGGCCGAGGAGGACGAGGAGAAGGTGGCCGACACCCTCCCCAAGCGGACGTGGAAGCCACCGCCCGTCATCCCCAAGGAGGAGAGCCGCTCGGGCACCAACAAGTACCTGTACTTCGTGTGCAACGAGCCGGGCCGGCCGTGGACGCGGCTGCCGCACGTCACGCCCAGCCAGGTGGTGCACGCCCGCAAGGTCAAGAAGTTCTTCACCGGCCACCTGGACGCCCCGGTCATCAGCTACCCGCCCTTCCCGGGCAACGAGGCCAACTACCTGCGGGCCCAGATCGCTCGCATCTCGGCCGCCACGCACATCAGCCCGCTCGGCTTCTACCAGTTCAATGAGGAGGAGGGCGACGAGGAGGAGGAGGGCGGCGCGGGGCGCGAATCCTTTGAGGAGAACCCCGACTTTGAGGGCATCCCAGTGCTAGAGCTGGTGGACTCCATGGCCAACTGGGTGCACCACATGCAGCACATCCTTCCGCAGGTGAGGACCGGGGCGCCCAGCCCCGCCTGTGTCCCAACCGGGCGACTCTGGACTCTGGTGTGACTGACTCCCCAGGAATGTCAAGCACCTGCTCTCTGCCAGCCATGGTACTTAACCTTCACTCACTCACTCACTCACTCACTCACTCACTCACTCACTCACTCACTCACTCATTCAAAGATACTGGTTGACAATCCTTTGGAATCAGATGCATCTTAGAATTCTGAACTTTTCAGATTTTAAAAAGGTAACTGCATATCCCATCTAGTACTCAACACCTCAAGCAGAGCTGGGCTGCAGCCCGTATTCAAAGGCATCATGGTTATTTCTGCAGAGAAACTGCATAGCCTCTTGACAGTCAGGTCAGGGATGCTACCAAGTGATTCCTGAAAAACTTCTGATTTCAGAGCTTTTTGGGTTTTAGAGTTGTGGATAGAGATTGTGGCCCTCCACTTATTGAATGCCTATGTGTCTGAACTTTATACACATTTATTTGTTCATTCAAGGAAACTGGCTGTGTGCTAGGATATTTTCATTCATTCATTCAACAGACATGTATTGACTCCACAAGGGTTTTCTTTGTTTTTAAATATATCTTTATTGATTTCAGAGAGAGGAAGGGAGAGGGAGAGAGAGATAGAAACATTAATGGTGAGAGAGTTGTCATTGATCGGCTGCCTCCTGCACGCCCCCAACTGGGGATCGAGCCCGCAACCCGGGCATGTGCCCTGACCAAGAATCAAACCACAATTTCCTGGATCATAGGCTGACGCTCAACCACTGAGCCATGCCTGGCTGGGCCACAAGGTTTTATTGAATCTAAATAACTCCTTTTGGGGCCTGTACAGCTATCATTGTCATCAGCACCTAGAGCAGTGCCTGTATATAATAGGTGCTCATTAAATATCTGATAAGTGAATGAATGGATGTGCAGGTGGAGGCCACGCCACCAGCAGGAGGCAGGAGTCCTCACCTGGATGCAACAGCTTCCTTGGCCCATTCTCTGCCCCCAACCTGTGTGACTAGCCCTGTTCTGCCCATACCTGGGTCCCTGAGGACAGTCCCCAGAGTCCTACCTGGCCCTTCACCTCCTCCCAGGGTGCAGGCTGACCCCTCCCCTTTGGGAGCTGCCGCCTAACTATCCCCCCCACCCAGGGCCGCTGCACTTGGGTGAACCCTTTGCAGAAGAAGGAGGAGGAGGAGGAGCTGGGGGAGGAGGAGGAGCGGGCTGACGAGGGCATGGAGGAGGTGGAGCAGGAGATCGGGCCCCCGCTGCTGACGCCACTCTCAGAAGATGCAGGTACCGGTCCTCCAGCCTGGGAAGGGGGGCCTGGGCAGATGAGAAAGGGAGGGTCAGCGACATCGCAGGGTCGTTTCTTCGAGCCTCAGTTGCTCTCACCTAAAAACGGATGTCATGACAGGGCTCCTCCTGGGGTCATGGGAAAGCATCCATCTCGTGAGCTGCGTCTGGCATGTGGCAGTGCCCATCTGGTGGGATGTGGTCTTTTGAGTCCCACGTGGACCTGGAGGGAAAGAGAGAGTTAGGGAGGCCTCCCCAGAAGAGGTGGGACTTGAACTGTATTTTGGAAGAAGGGACAGACATTTCCTGAGGTCGGGGCCTCAGGCACCTGGAAGAAGCAGGAAGGAGAGGCTGAGAGTGGGCCCTTGGACAGAGCCCGTTTTTTTTGTTTTGTTTTTTTGATGTATCTTTATTGATTTCAGAGAGAGGGAAGGAGAGGGAGAGGGAGAGATAGAAACATCAATGATGAGAAAGTCATTGATCGAGCCCACAACCCGGGCATGTGCCCTGACCGGGAATCGAACCCTGATCGCCTGGATCCTAGGTCGACGCTCAACCACTGAGCCACACCCGGCGGGGCCAGAGCCGGTATCTTGACCCAGGTTTCCGTGAGCCCAGAGCCGGTGCCCTGCTCTCTGCCCCCTGGTCCAAACCAATGGCTAGCTGGAGGGAGAGTCACAGCAGCTGCCCTGTCTGGGGCCCAGGGCTCACCAAGAGATGAGCACCTCCCTTCCTGGGTGCAGGCACTGAGGCTCAGGCAGGTGACATGGGGGCACACGGGAAGAGCTGTGTCCCGAGCCAGGGTTCAAACACTGAAGCCCGCACTGTTAATCACCACAGTTCCCTTTGCACCCCTCCTTATTTCCCTCCCTCCAGGGGTTGTGCGGGGCGTGGGGAGCCAGCAGCAGAGCCTCTGACCTCCCTGGCGCTCTTCACGCCCCCGCAGAAATCCTGCACATGTCGCCCTGGACCGCCCGCCTGTCCTGCAGCCTCTCCCCGCAGTACTCCGTGGCCATTGTGCGCTCCAATCTCTGGCCGGGGGCCTACGCCTACGCCATTGGCAAGTAGGTCTCCCCTGTCTCCCAGCAGAGGGAGCCCCTCCAACAGGCCCGCTGGGGAAACTCACAGGGGTGGACAGAGATTGGGAGGGAAGCCCCCCTTCAGGAAGCCCCCCGGGGCTGAGCCCCTTATTCTGCTCCAGGGGTTCCATTGGCTTAAATGCAGGATTCAAACCTGGATCTGTGGCCCCTCGGCCTAGGCTTTTCTGCTGTATGGGTCACAGAGCCCACAGGACTCAGGAGTCCCCTCTGGAATGGCTCTGACAGGGGCAGTCTCCTCTCTGGGGGAGCTAAGTACTTCCCTGGGCCCCCTGGCCAGTTCTTCCAATTTGAAGTGTCTTCTCTCTGTGGGCCAGAAGTCTTCACCACCAGGATCCCCCACCAGTTGCTCCCAAAAGATATTCAGGCCAAAAATCAGCTTTGCCTCTTACCACCCGCAGCTACACACTTCCCCCGCCGCCCCGCAGCCCCTCTCACCAGCCACATCCCAGCCTTTCTGCTCAACCACTAGAGGGCGCCGTGTGCGGCCACAGGGCGGCGTACTTGCCAGCTCTGTCCACCAGATGGCATGACGATTTTTCATAGATTTTCCTTTTCTATTCATAACTCTGATTCACAGTCGAGGTGGGAATTCACGTCATACTGATACTTGAACCACATACTTAGCAATTATCATTTTTTTCTCCTCCAGAAGCAGGGAAGAGGCACGCTTGCTTTTGCCAACACCCTTCTTCTGGCCACACCTTAATTTGTCAACCTCCCTCTGAAAGCAAAAGATCCAAATTGGGCGCTCCACTCGCCCATCCACCCTCCACCCCTACCGCGCATCCACCCACCCTCTCAGCCACCTTGCTGAAAGGGTAGCTACGGATCCTGCCCTGGGAGCAGACAGAGAAAGCATAGGCGTAATTGTTTAACACCTCTCACCCCCACTCACTCCCCCAGCAACCCCCCCAATATCCTGTTACAAACTGAGGTAAGTACTACTAAGGAGAATGGGGGACCAACGACAGCTTATCTGTCATGTCCGGAAAGGATCAAGGAAGGATTCCTGAGAAAAGCGGCCTTGATCTGAAATCTTTGAGGAAAGAAAGAAGTGGGGAGGGGATAGGCGGAAGGACACTCTAGACTAGAGAGTCTCCACCAGTGAGTGCCAGGACTTGCTGGGGTTCCGCTTGCATGGGTGTGGGGTGGAGCCCCAGATTCTGCCTTCCTAGCAAGTTCAGTCCCCTGGAACAGCAAGGTCAAAGCCAAACGGCTCCCCTGGCAAACTCTCCATCCCCCCTCTCTCCTGCTGTCTCTCTGCTTCTCGCCCTGCCTCTCAGTCCCTGCCTATTCTCCCATTTTCTCCACTTTTCTTCCCTAGTTGAAATTCTGGGGAGAGGTGACTTGGCCGCGACCCGACCCATTCTGTCCTTGTGTTTTATCAGTCTCCTCCCTGGGCATAGGCACCACGGCAGGATTCTTGTCAATTTGTTCACTGCCAGCTAGGTCCCCACATCTAGACCAGGGCTGTTCCATATAAATAAAACAGGAGCCACATATGTAATTTAAAATTTTCTAATAGCCATATTCAAAAAGTAAAAATAAACAGGCCGCTGGCTTGTTTCCCTGCCGGGGCGCATGCCCAGGTTGCAGGTTCCATCCCCAGTCGGGCTGCACGCTGGAGGCAACCGATTGAAGTTTCTCTCCCACATCCATGTTTCTCTCTCTTTCCCTTCCCTTCTCTCTAAAATCAATAAAAGTGTCTTTTAAAAAATACTAAAGGAACAAATGAACAGAAGAAGCCGGTGGGCACACTTCCCCCTGCCCCACCTCTCCATCACGCGGTGTCTGTGCTCATTCCCGCCCTCAATGAGAGTCCGAGCTGGGCCCTCGGCGGGCGGCCTCCCCAGCATCTCGCTGCCCCTCCAGGAAGTTCGAGAACATCTACATCGGCTGGGGCCACAAGTACAATCCCGAGAACTTCAACCCGCCCCTGCCGGCCCCCATTCAGCAAGAGTACCCCAGCGGCATAGAGATCATGGAGATGAGCGACCCCACGGTGGAGGAGGAGCAGGCCCTGAAGGCGGCCCAGGAGCAGGCCCTGGCGGCCGCGGAGGAGGAGGAGGAGGACGAGGAGGAGGACGAGGACGAGGACGCGGACGACTGAGCGCGCGCCCCCCTCCCCCGCGCAGGGGCGTGGCAGGCGGCTCCGCCCGGGCGGGTAGGGCTTGTTTTTCAGCTTTGGTTTGCTTTCTGCTGCTGGAAGGCAGCTGCTCTGAGTAAAATGTTCCCGTGGCATTTATTCATTTGCTCACTGCTTTGTCGTCAGGGCCCGTACGTCAGGGCTCTTGGGCTCTGCTGGAAACACTGACCTTGCCCCGCATAGTTTCTCTCCCACCTGTTTCACTTATTCATTCCTCTGGACATCAAACAACTATTAAAACGCCTCCTGTCACCCTGGCCGGTGTTGTACAGTAGTTAGAGCATCAGCCTGTGCACCCAAGGGTCTCGGGTTCAGGAGGCAACCGATCAATGACTCTCCCACATGGATTTTCTCTCTCTACCCCCTCCCGACCTCCCACTCTCTCTGAAAAATCAATGGAAAAATACATCCTCTAGTGAGGATTAACAAAAAACAAACCAAAAAAAGTGGGTGTTGGAGGACTGAGATTGTTGAAGATAGTGAAGTCATGGAGATACATATTGGAGGCTAGTGGAAAATGTGGAGATGTTTGGGGTTAGCGTCAATCAGTAGTGGGCCGGATGAAGTCCTTGGGGTTTTATGGAGACATGGGATCAGTGAGACTTGGGGGATCATCAGCGGTGGGGAAGAATGGCTGGAGATGCTGTGACCAGTTGGGGAGATTAAGATGTCAGTGGGAGACAGTGGAAGTCAGGAGGGTGTATTTTGGGAGTCTATGGAGACACTAGGCTCCCCTGGGGTCATCTGTGAGGTCACGGGGAAGCTCGGATAGAAAAGAGGCCTCCTCTTTAGGGTCTCTCCGTTGCTAGGCAAACGGTTCCCAGGGCGCCGTTGCTAGGGACTTATGCTTTTTAAATGCCACTCCCCGTTCCTCGTGGGCCCCGCCCCCGCAGCCAACCACACAACGGTCTCAGGCACGAAGGCCGCGCCCACTTTTTCGACCCGCCCGCAGACCCAGAACCGTTACCCGAGCGACGGCTGGGGCTCGTCCCACCTCCTGACCCTGTTGCCAATCGAAGAGACGTCGCCCGGGCGACGACCCCACCTCTTCCGGC